TTCACTTCAGCATTGCCCCGTTGGGTTCCCCTGTGAGCAGTAGCTGCGTGCCCTTCTTGCAGGCCCATAGCATGCTGATTGAGCTTGTGCCACCACCTATGAAGGGCAGAAGACCATAAAGTCGTGACATCTAGTTGAAGTCTGGTACGGAGCCTGCGGGTGCAGCGATCAAGCAGAATGCTCACAGGGTCCTGAAGACGATACCGAATGAGAAACTTTGCAGCAGGCTCTCGGCTGATGAAAACAGGTTCACGACAGACGGATCTGAGTTGCCTGAGTGTGTGCTGATAGAAACGCTGCAGGTCCTGCTGGCTCAGCATGAGACAGTCGAGCCCATAGAGCATGCTGGCAAAGGGGCACGCCCTCCAGATCAAGAGTCGTTGTCGCAGCGTCAAGCTTCTTGATCGCAGTGCTTTGGAGATGCGGTGAAAGGCGCTCCATGAGTGCTTTAGCCTGTGTGAGAGAGTGTAGGACTCAAACTGTTGGTAGGATATCTGCACGCCTAGATAGGTATGCTTCTCGACAATGGGCAGGTAGATGGCTGATTCTGAGTTGGATGACCGAAGGGGCACCTTGAAGAGCTTGCCCTTTTTGGGGTCAGTGCAGACATGCTTCTTGAGCAGAGCAGCAACAGCTGTGCCCCTGAGTCCAATTAAGACGACCGTCTTCTCCGTGCTGATTCGCATACCGAAATCTTTAAGCACCCCAAAAACAAAGCTGATATCTGTACAGGTTTGCTCAAGCTGTTGTTTACTAGTGATCTTCCACTGCAGAAGCAGGTCATCTGCGAAGGCAGTCAGGTTCTGTGTTGGAATGCGTTGTTGAAAGGCTTTCAAAATCAAGCACGTATAAAGTACCCACAAGCTGGGTGCTAACCCACATCCTTGGCGCACACCGTTTGACGATCCAACACAGCTTTCGTGGTGCCCGATCTTAAATTTCATGGATGCCCAATCATGAATTTTAAGAATCGTCCAGACGAGGTCCGGCTCAGCACCAGAAGCGTTTAGGGCTTCTTGAAGGCGTGCTCTGGGTAACAGATCAAAAGCTTTCTGTAAATCTAAGGAGAGGGTGATACCCCCTTTGATTTCCTCAGGCTGATGATTCTGATGTCTAAGATGTATGGTTTGTCTCTGGGCTTGCATGACCTCTCGAACGTGACGGCAGTGAAGTAAAGCTCTGTCCAGAGCATCTTGCGCAGATCTGTGCGGGACGTAAGCATACTGGGGCAGGGTCTGGACACAGTGGAGCATATGCGGCATTATGCGCTGGTTCAGGGCATGTGCTAAAGCCTTAGCAACAGGATGAAGAAGGGAGATTGGCCTTAGGGTCTCCGGGCCCTGCATAGGCTTAGAGGGTTTCGGGATTAGGCAGATCTCCGCTATGTGCCATGCGTCCGGTGGCTGCTGGGTCATGTCCGCTAGCCAGCCGTTAAGCTGCGGCAACAGCTTGGCTGCTAGGATGTGCGCTCCCGCATGCCAAAGGAGCGCAGGTACTTCAGTCGAGGGCAGCGCTTTGTTGGCCGGAATGCTCTGAAGCGCCGATTGGAACTCTGACAGGCTAAGTTGCAGTGGGCTAGCCGGGGGTTGAGGGCTAGCACGGTCGGGTTGCTGATTGAAGAGGTGTTGATAGTACTGTCTGACGTATTCAATGGCGGCAGCGGTGTCCAATGGCATTCCCTTGGCGTCTCGAAGCTGCAGACGCTTGCGTGGCGCTGCTGGAGCGATAACACGCAGCAGTCGAAACACAGAGGTGAGACTGCCCGGACTCTGCGACGCCTCGCGCAACATATTGTGAATGCGCTGCTTTCGGGCTTGTTTACTTTGGGTCTGCAGGGTTTTCTGTAAGCGTTGGAGGGTGGCAAGTGCTTTCCAAAGTTTAAGGAGATCCCTGAGACTACGGTGCCTATTGACCCTGGCAAGGCGGACTTGACGGCGCAGGGCCCAGACTTTGCAAACTGAAGCATCCCTAGTGCTGGCGGTGCGTGGCTCCTGCTGCTCCGACAGTGGAGCCGTCGTGGAGCTCCAGGCTTGCTGAAGCAATTGCGAGGCCGCAAGCTCCGGGGCTTGCTCATGCAGTACCGCAAGTGTTCGTTGAAATTCTTGGAGGATCCCAGGACACTTATCTACAGCCTGCTGCACCTTTCTGCGACTGACCTGGTGTGCGGGGGGTTTGCCCTTGGGGACCTTAGGGTAGGGAATGCTGCCAACTAGGGGTAAATGACGTAGGCCGGTGACCGGGACGAAGGGATAATGCTTGGGGCCTACGTTCCTAGATGCAGGGTCCAGGTTGTGATGCCTCGCAAGAACGAAATCGATCTGGCTCTGGCCTCCGTCTCCAGAGGAGAGGTAGGTGCAAGCTGACAGCCCTCGTTTGCACCAAGTGTTGAGTGCTACCAACTGGTGGGTTCTGAGGATATCCTGAAAGGCTGGGGCATCCGGGGCATGTGCAGCAGTACGTTGAAAAACACCACGACCTACGTGCATGCCATCGGTGTGCAGGTCAGTGTTGAAATCAGCAAGGCACAACAGCTGGTTCCTACGAGGGAGACTGCTCATGCACTCGGAAAGGGCCAGCCAAAAGGCATGACGGCGCAACAGCAATGCATCCTTAGCGGCTTGCTTGTCAAGACCACCTTTGGGGAGTGTCCAGGCATGCTGGTAACCAACTATGAGGTCGATTGAGGGTTCAGCTTCTAAGCGAACATGCATTAAGCGACCCGGAATAAGGATGCGGTGCTGTACCAGGGCTGGAGGAAACGCAGCTCGGTCAATCAGGAGCAAAATGCCTGCTTCTGATTTGTCCCCACCGGAATGAACAGCTGAAAACCTATCCTGCGAGTATTCTAGCAGTCCTTGCCAGTGGGTCTCCTGGATGACCACCAGTTGTGTACTTAGGCCTGCGGGGCTGCGTAGCCAGGCCTTGAGCTCATGATGTCTTGAGGCCGTGAGGCCCCCCGCGTTCCAGGACATAAACGTGAGGCGCTTTCTGCGTGCTTCAGGGTCTCGTTGGGGTTTGGGCATCCTAGGGGCAAAGCTGACACCTAACTCAAAAGGACTAAACCATCTCCCTTGGTATTTGGCTTTGCCTTGCTGCCTGGCTCGGTTTTGGGCTCTAATGAAGGCTCGTTTTCTAGGTTGTGGGAGGGTGACACTGATCCCTGGACTGGGTACACCGTATTGGTTTGCGCTAAAAGGAGGGTGATTGAAGCTAACTGTTCGCGCTTCAGGAAGGTCCTGGTGTGGAGAGCTTCCAACCCTCGTGTCTGTGAGTCGAACTGCTGTGGCTGATTGCATCAGGAGGCTGCTGAGGACAAAGCTCAGGAAGGGTCGCAGTTTGTGGTTCAACTCACCCCCGGACTTGGGACCGGGGCGGCCTACTGGTTTAAGGTCGGGTTTATGAGGCGAGGAGGGGCAATGCTCAGTTTGACGCACATCCACTGTACATGCAGACAACAAAACAACCGACGGGCATTTACAGGAAAACACAGTTACTGTACACCGGCAGGCAAGGCGAGCGAACCTCAGTACACTTCGCAATCCGAGTCGTCGGTGTCTCATCTGTGGTCGTCGACGTCTCCGTGGGCGTCGTGTCGAAGTATTCCTGCAGCGGCCTGGTCGGAGGTGTCGTCCCCAGTCAGTAGGTGGAGGAAGAGGGCTGCGCAGCGGTACTCGGTCCGGCAGAGCCGGAGGCTGGCTCAGGCCCTGTATCCTCCGTCTCATCCAGGAAGGGTAGTGTTGAGGCCTGTGGGTGCTCCGGGTGTGCTTGATGCCAAGCGTATCCACAGTACCAGGCTTGGAAGTCCCTTCTCCCCTGTCCGTCCAGCAGTACGAACATGGCCAGCATGACCGCGGCAGAAAGGAATTTGTTCTGTTCCGCCCAGGCTGCCTGACCATTGACCACTGCAGTGACTGCCGATCGGGGCAGATGTTGACGCAAGTGTCGCGTCGCCAAGCGCGTGAGCTGTTGGAGGCAGAGGCTGGGCGTAGGAGAGCCAGGGAGGTCGATCTGCGCAATCCAGGTCTGGTCGTTCTCTGATACCCCAGCGCTGAGGACGCTTCCCAAAGCGCCGTAATCTCGATGCATTCTGGTTGCATCTTCCTCCTCCAGCCGCGGCATGACGCGGTCATACACTTCCCATGGCTCCAGGCCAGCAAGGCCACGTCGTTGTGCGGCCAGCTGGGCGTTGGTGGAACGCTTGTCGGCGCAGAAGAAGCAAATGTGTCCTGCCAGGTAGTGTATGCAGAGCTCCACCAGTGCCTTTCTGCATGCTGAGTCCAACAAGACTCGTCTTTCCTCGCTTTGTCGCCTCCATAGCGCAGCGTTGCGCTCCTCAATCTCCCTCGCAGCCAGTTCGGGGTCAATAAAGGACCCGGCGTCACTATCAGTAGCAGCAGGGCCTGAATCAAGGCTTTCATCACGAGAGCTGGCCGCTTGTGATCTGGGCATCCCCGGCCCGAAGGCCCCAACGGAAAAGCAGGATACCCGCGGTCAGTTCACAGCCACACAGGACTCGGCGTAGCTCTGATGTTCGCGAGGCAAAGCGAGGGCCCTCCCTAAAAAGCGGGAAAACGTCGTTGGGCCGAGACACTTACTACTACTACTACTACTACTACTACTACTACTACTACTACTACTACTACTACTACTACTAGTACTACTACTACTACTACTACCACTACTACTACTACTACTACTACTACTACTACTACTACTACTACTACTCCTGCTACTACTACTACTACTACTCCTACTACTACTACTACTACTAGTACTACTTCTACCTCTACTACTACTACTACTACTACTACTATTACTACTACTACTACTACTACTACTACTGCCACTCCTTCACGACTTCTGCTACAACTTTGGATACCTCAGCCACGGCTTACGCAAACAAACTGCCACATCGAAGCCATACAGGAACTTGTATACGGCACCCTGAGAACATCGTCATGGAAGCCGACGCTGATATGTTGAGAGACTCCATTCCGGAGGAGCATTCCTGCGGAGACCAAAACTGGCGGCAGAGCCTTTATCGCAGTCTTCACTCGCTCCTCTTTGGCCGGCCCCTCAAGGGCGTGACACTGCTTTTATGCATATCCGTGCAGCAGGATGCTGAATTTGAGGGATGCACTGGTCGTCACCGTTTTCCCACTTGCTTCCACGTCTCCGTTGCCCCCCCCCCTCTCTGCCATGCTTCTGTAAATGTGTGCAGCATGAGACGTCGATATCTCCCAAGTTAAGGGACCAGATAACCAACCTCGTGAACCAGGCTGAGCAGTCGACGCCGGTGGCACTCCAGTTCTCAGACGCAGTGTCAGTCCAGCCCTCGGTTTCGGAATGCTTCGGGAAAGTTGAATAGACCGAGAAGCTCGCACTGTCCGTCATCTTCCACTGCGGGTGAGTGAGAGAGATTGAACAAGAATTGCGAAGAGAAAAAATGAAATTAAACAAAGTGGAAGATGTAAGAATAAAGTTAGTAGAAGGGATATAATGAGTTTAGAACATACACATCAATGAAGAGGATACGTGGTAGACAGATGGATAGACAGATAGATGCCAGCAAAGAATAATGATGAAGAAGCTGCTCACGAGCCACGTGAGGTGAGCTTTTAAGATCTCCATTGAAGTCAATGGCCAGATGACTGCCATTTGTTTTCCAGATTCCAAAAGGTGCACACAGGAGCCAAACGCGATCCCGCGCCCTCACTCTTCAGGTGGTCGAGAATGTGAGCTTCCCGGATTTCGACTTGGATTCTGCAGACCTTGGTGGCATCCTGACTTGGTCGGAGCCAACGGACACGAGCCAGGCGATGCCCTTCGCTGTATCCCAACATGTACCATGTGTTGTTCGGATGTTGAGCAAAGCCCTCAGGGTGTGTGTGCTCCGAAGGAGCTAGACCCCAAGCAACCAGCCAGATGAACCGGCGGAGACTGCCATGTTCGAACCACCTATGGGAATAGCTAGCCAAAGCCTGTTTCACAGGTTGAGCACTACAATGTGTACTTTGCAAGGAGGCACGGGCTTGCAGCAAACACAGGCTTCGCTGCACATCAGCCGGTTGAAAATTCACGTTTCACCTTGGCCCTGGACAGGTGCTCTCAGGGCGAGTATGTCGAAAGCGTGAACTCGATTCTCGACAGCAAATTACATGCCGGTGGCAGCATTGCAGCATGGCTATCGAAGCAGGTGTCGCCTGACGTGGTCTCCAAGTGAGGGATGATAAAAAACACGGAGAGCAGCTTTTAAAGTCAAGGTGAGAGCAATCGATTTCCTTGTAAAACGATAAGAGTAAAATGAAACGATAACGAATATGTGACACATCCAACAGTTTGGAAGTCATCCAAAGTACTGTAAAACGATAAGAGTAGAAAAAAACGATAAGGCTGTTGAGGGACAAGCAGATGGATACGGAATTTTCACGCATCCCCAAGTGTTGAGGTCCAAAGTCTGAGCTGGGCATTGCGCTTGGAGTTAAATGCATGGTTCTTTGCCAAGCCCCCCAGGACAGTGGCGACGGTCATCTCTGATGTTTCCGACGCGACTTGCATGATTGAAGCTGCTCATCCAGGGGTCAAGTTTCCGCACACGCGTGCCTGCTGAGGAGAGCATCACATAACATCGCGTTTAGTATGCCTTTTGTTGTTCCATGTTCAGTTTCCCTGCAGTGCCTTATGGACGGCAGGTCGAAGGAAAGGAGGGCTTGCGATTGTGACGGCAAGCACCCAACAAGACACTTCGCAGGTCTTTTGCGATGTCGAGTTCTTCGGGACAGTGCGGCAAGGCCAGATGCTTGGAGATTGAGGCAGTGAGAAGCATCCAGAACGTAGGCCAGTTTTGCTGCACAGACGCACTCTCTGATGCCGTCGGTTGCATTGACAGCCAGCGCCGTCGCAAAGACGTACCGGCAAAAGTGATATGTCGGGATTGTGATGAGACCTTTCCAGGAGTGGACGAATTAGTGGTACCTCCCGAGACGCCCATGCGCAACTGTGCTAGAATGTGCCCGATTAGTGTGATCTCCGGAGTCATTGCAGCCGCAGCTTCAGTGAAATTCTTGATAGTATGGTTTTTCGCCAGATCAGTGGTATCCCTGGGTCTTCCCAACACCGTGTTCTCTCGTGGTCCCTGGATCAGGGCTGCCGTACTCTAGCTCCGGATAGGGGGCCGAGGATTCTCGGTTAGAGTCCGTGGAGCTTAGGCAACTTCTCCCACTTCTTGGTGTATGCAAATTCTTCCTTGGCCGAGCAAAGCCTGCCAGCGGAGCACGAAATCTTCGCAACTCGATCAGCTTATGTTTGATTTTCAGCGCTTCTCATGTGGGTAATCATCCACCCATCTGAGAAATATGTCCAGGCTTTAAAGTGCGAGCCCTGATCCAAAGCCCTAAATCGGCGGAAACCTCCAAGGACATGAACGCGAGCGTCTCAGACATAAGATTCCAAGACCAGGACTTGGATGAAACTGAAATTGGAGGGCAGGTCTACTGGCTTCCACCCCTCGACAGCAGTCGCGTCCAGGACAGGCCGACGGAGGTTTCAGGGTCAGCTTTGAGAGGGTGCAGGCTCCGGGTTGGCATGGGTTGACGCAGTTGGACTTAAGATTCAGGATTTGGTTTGTGGTTGTTTTCTTGGAGGCGCTTGATCAGAACCAAGGTTGCAGGTTTGACTCGTCCAAACCTCTTTCTTCTAGTCGTCCCGACCACAGGACTACATTCTCACCCTGGCCTTGAGCCCCACTGGCACTGCGAGATCCCAGGCTTGCGGGGAAATAGGACTCGCCCAATGCAGTAGCCGGAAGAACAGAATGCTTTAAAGGGTCTATCCTCTCAAGCCCCAAAAGTTTCCTGTTTGTCAAGGGCAGCATTTGGACGCTGATTGTGCCCTTTGGCCCGGGGCTCTTTCTTGGGCTTCCCTATGCCGAGTGGATGCAAAGAAGTAGCCTCGCGACGGCAGAAGAAAGGACACAAATTCTTGATCCTACGAATGCGATCGCTGCACAACAGACGCTTCCCAAATCTGAAGTCTCTCTGGAGCCCCAAGCGCCGTGTATCCCCCTTGCAACTGGACCTGAGAAGGAGCATGTAACAATGGAAGATGTTCCTTGCAGTGTGGCGGAGGTAGGGCCGAGCTTGCCTGTCGGGAACGAGACCCAGGCACTAGACCCTGACGCTCAGCTGCAGCTGTGAATGTGGCAGAAAATGCGAGCTTTTCAGGGGATCCCTATGTTCCAATTCGAACTACGACCCAGTGACTGTAAAACCTCATGGCCTTTTGAACTACATCACTCGATTTCGATTTCAGGCACCCTTTGCTTGGAGGTTCCACCCCCTTCAGGTACAAGGCATCAGATCTCGGGTGAACGTCTAGGGTTCTCCAGTTCAGCTGTAAGCACTCTGGGCAAGTAGTCCAAGCAGGATCCTGAATCAATGTGTTTGTTCTCCGACATGCCAGCAGAGGCATCGCAATGTAATCATGACCCAAATGTTCGTTGATGCTGTGCCTTGCACGATTGTCCAATAGCTATCCACAGCAAACATGATCGAAGATATCGAGGGAGTCATGAATGGATTAGAAATCCCCATGGCGGAGGAGACTGTCATTGCCGAAGACGCATATGTTGTTGCCGGAAGCTGAGTTGCGGTCCGGCACGTTGTCTTTGGAATGTTGAGCGACTGCAAATGGGGTTGCGTGATTCGAAGTAGAGCTCTTTCCGCATCCAGTTCAGGTTGGATTCTGACTTATGGTGTTTTGGGGCCAGTCTGGGGTCAGTTTAGTAGGGACACTGCAAGCCCTCTGAGTGAAAGTACCGAGGTGTATACGCGGTCTCCGCTGGCGGAGCAAACGCGGCTCGCCGGTGTTCGTGCATGCTCGCAGTACAGATAGGGTTCAGGCAATCTGGAGGCATCGTGCGTCGAACTTGCTGCAGTTGTGTGCGTGATGCTGAGGACTCCGGTCGATCTGAAGATTGTGGACTCCATTGCATCGGCCAGTTGCTTGCAATTTGCAGCCTCCAACGGTTCCCCAACTTCCACGCCATGTGAACGCATTGTGTAGCCTCGGTCTCGGACAGAAGAAGCACTTGAATAGTGCAGGAACCTCTACTCGCGTTCCCAGCCCCGCCGTCCACGTGCATGCCATCGCTGAGAGGCTTTGTTTTGTATCTCTGCGGTGAAACGCCAAGCTGAGCCTGACAGTCGCAACATCCATGAGCCAAAAATCCTTCCACCCAACCCAGAGACAAAACCTACAAGAAGCAGAATCGCTGGAACACCGCTTGAAGGCTTGGTACGATAAGCGGCTGAGATATGCATCGACCCCAAACCCCCACGAGCCGTGAACACCACTTGCAGGTATCCAACATCAGCTTCCCTGATTTCGACCTTGACGAGGGCGATCTCGGAGGCCTCTTAGAATGGCAGCGGCCCAGCACCACCGGAAGCAGCTTGGACTTTCGGGAGCGAGATGGGTTATGGATGGGGGTTCTGCGGCAGAGGGATGCCCGAGGGTTGTTGCGTTGACTTTGAAGGTGATTTGACATTGATGCAAAGGCTGTCAGCTTTGCAGCAGCATGGCACTCGGGTTAAGCCAGTTGCCATGATACCGCTGAATTGGCCAGTTTGGCGTTGCAGGGAGTGTCGGCCCTGAGGTGACGAGATCGAGCTTTACATTGTGGCAAGGCAGCACTTGTATGAACCCGGAAACCTTGCAAACAACAGGCCCCATGCCAACACTGACAATTGTGCATTCTGAGGCTTGTAGCTAGAGTCACTGAAAGCAGGTCAAACATTCACGAAAACTGGAGGATTGCTTCGACGTCTTTAGATGTATGTTCGCGTTCGAAGCGTCAACAGAAGCTGCCGTCGGCTTGCAAGCTGAGCTATCTTTGCTGAGGTCTACTTCGCTTCGTGTGGCGATGCGAACGGGTCAGACAGTTGCAGCGGCACGTCTTGTTGGACTGAGCGTCGGACATTACGTCTTGTCTCATCGTGCAAGCCATGGCCTACTGTCAGGTGCGAAGTCCTACTATTCCGAGACCTCCTTTGGGACAGAGAACTTGACGGTGGACCCAGAGACGTCCATCGACAACTTCACCCACTGGTTATCGAGCTGCACCCCTTAGCTGGTGTCTAATGGGTACTGTGGAGAGGTGTTTGGCATGCTGGCGTTTTTGCCTCCTCTGTAGCTGACTCCATCTGACTCCACTGGTGCATGCACGCGACCGCATGCTTTGTGTACTGTTCGAGCCTTGTGGATTGAAGGTTCCAGCGCCGACTTAAACAGCCAGAAATCTCAGATTCTACACAAATTACATAGCCGTTGTGACCCCTGAGGTCGACCGTGGCGACCGGCATACTAAAGATCTCTAGGCCGTGACGCTTGAAGCTGGCAAGTGTGTAAAGTTGCCAGGCTTATCTACACCCGGTCGAGCCTGGTCGAACAGACCTACCCGGTGGCGCACAAAATATTTGACGCTACCTCCAGCGTGTCAGGCCCCATGCCATGACTGCTCCGTGCAAAATGAGACATGGCAGAAGGCACCAGCCCCAACAGCTTCACCCAAGACTGTAAGGCTATAAACCCCATGGCGGTGAATCCTCAAGGTTCCAGAGACTCTCTCGACAGGAATTCAATTCACCGACAAAGACCTCGACGCCTCGGAGCTCGGAGGCTTCCAATGCTCTGACCTAGCGGAGGGATGACTCTTTCGAGGGAATTGTGGGGCTTCGTGGTACAGTTCGGAGACTCTTGTGGCTTGATGACTTTTCAGTCTTCAGGACCTCTCAACCAAAACGGCACGCAGAAAGACGTGCATGACTGCCTGGCTAATGCAGAGCCGAAGAGCATCCTGTGAGGCACCACCTATTGGCTGCAGCCTGCCTACGACGCCCGAGTGCGGTTCTACAATGTGTACCTTTCGGCAGATCCAGCAGGCGCGGCAAAATGGGTGTGGAACGAATCTCAAGCCATCACCCAGCTTTCATGACGGCCTAGGCCTTTGGCCCAGTCTCGCCCACCAGAAGCTCAACCCACATGACTCCAACTCGAGAATGACAAGGCCCTTAGCTACAACACCCCGAACTACACGCTAGAAAGGTGGTGGTCGTTCGCAATTGGGCGCCGTCGAAGCAGCGGAAAGCAGCTTCGCGCCTCTCGGTGGACGACACTGAAAGGTTGAAGTCTTCCGTTCAGGAAGCACCCCGAACGCCAGCACACTTCAGTACAGACTTGAATACTATTCCGAGCATTTCCGAGCCCAGTCCCGACAAGACGTGAAAGTGCATGAATGCCGAGAGCCAAACCGAGGCTCCCGCCCGATACATCCTCGCAAGACTTCGTTTTCCTGGCGGCAACACGGACGGATTCAGTTCCGCATGAGATTGGTTGTTGGGTCTTGGCCGCTCGTTGCCTGTTGGGGCTGTGTTCTGGGGGTCTACTCATATAGAATCTATAGAGGCCAGGTTGGGTGCTGCGTTGCCCTGCAGCCTAGCACCCTCACGTGAGGCCTTTTTCTGAATGTTCTGGTCCTGGACAGTAGACATTGGGTTTTGTCACCAGCGCTCACGATTATTCAGGGCGGTGTCGGTGACGGACTCAATTTCGCTGCTCACGAGGTGTACACAGAGTCTGAGCTG